TTCAATTTGTTTAAAGGATATAATTGAATACCTCCGGGGAATTATCTATTAACAGAGTGATACAAAAACAGGAACGCCGATCAAGAAATGATAAATTTATCGGCTTTCTCATAGCTTTAAATTTGTCAAATTCTAATCTGCATATAGATTTGAATGAATTACATTGATGTATTTTAGCCTGAAACAATATTTCGTGTAGAATTTCATTTGTGCAATATTCAGGGTTATGGAAAATGAAGGATCCAATTTAATAAATTTGTATTTGTTCAAGTATAAATTAAAAATTAATAATTTATATACCGATGGATAGAAAAAGATTCAAATTTTATTTTACATATTTATAAATGTTTAATATTTTATTACCTTTTTTGCACGGAAAAAGTTGATAGGATGCTTCTGGAGCGATAAATAGGATTCATGGGAAATGAAGTTTCGGCTTTACATTTCTGGCCACTTAGATGACCTAATCTCACCCTATATGAGATTACGACGTAACCTATCTCGCCCCCAAATTATAGGGTTACGTCAAAGAAGCTGTTTACGTCCCGCCTCTACCAGCAACTCTGGTTGATCTGAAGAAGCATATCACTGCTACGGTGCACTCAGTAACAGAAGATATGCTTTTTGTGTGTGGGACGAGTTTGGCTACCGTTTAGATGTTTGCCGTGCAGCACATGGGGGACATATTGGATATTTATAAACATGTGAAAATTTTTAAATCTTTCTCTTTTCATTGATGTAAGAATTATTTAATTAAATTCATACTTAATTAAATCTGCATTTATTAAATTGGGTGTATTATTTGGAATAATTCTGCATATTGTAATTAACAACTATAATACCCACTTAAGTTATAAATTTAAATTATGATTCCTTAATGCACCAACAAACTCCGTGTGGTTGAAAAAGATTGATAGTTTGTATTCGTCTTTCTAATATAAGATTATTATTTCAGCCTTGACAGATAAAGGTACCTTGAAAATAAATGAAATGAATTTCAAAGCTGCTGAAGTAGTTTATCGATAGGTACTTAAGTAGTTCATTGGTATATACCGTCAAAATATACAATAATCTCAGCCGATTTTGCAAGAAAAAAAAACTTTCTACAACTGCGTGTTTAAAATTTTATGCTGCCGAGATATGACTGGATGTCTATATCGAGCCTTTATATCTAATGAGGTTCGTATCATGTTGCCTTGGGTGCTTGAATTTGCAAATCAAACAATAGATTTCTTTTGGATATTTCCACGCTTCCTCCATGCGATGGACGAGAATGCAAGCTCCAAATCTCCTTAAATTTTATCCAAAATCCAAATCCTTGAAATTAATTACAAAACAAAACAACTTCAATGACCGAATAGAATTAATGAACAAATTCCCTTTTATCCATTAATACGCACACAACCGTAGGACCGCGACAAACCTTCCTATTGTATAGGATTATTAATCGGTCTCTTCAAAAAGTTTTCGAAGAACGCGTATTTTTTTTATTACCCTATAACAACATATTTCAAAATAAACCAACCAAACATTTGGCTAAAATTATGAGCGGCTATTTTCCATCAGTTTCATTTATATCTTTGCATTTAATTTAACCTCAGCGATGAACCTTCATATTTTACTACATTAAAACTACCTTGTTCTGCCCGAACAAGCGGTTCAGGTAAAAATGAATATTGTCTCCACTCGAGAATGGGAAGACGTAATATTCTGTGCAAAAATGTGTGCATCTTACTGGATAAAATATTCGTGCTAACGACCATAATGATCATTGCCTCAGCGGCATGAAGTGTATATGGCCTGCGATCTTCTTACCTAAAAGCCCAGTAAATGCAAATTTCACGGTCTTCTTTTCGCAACTGCTCATGCAGAAAATCCGAAATCCGAGCGAGAAGATTTCAATCTCTGTGAGTCAAGAAAAAGTTGGCTTAACTTTCTATTGGACATCCTAATGTGTCGAAGAAAATGTCTGTTCAGACGGGGTAATATAGTCTTGATAATTTCGTATCTCCCAAAATTTATGTCAAATTTTGTTGTGCAGTTTATTTTGTTCACAGTTGTTTTTCTTTTACAAATATACAAGTTTTCGGTTATGAACATTCAGTTCGAATGAGTGAATGAATTCTGATGAAAAATAGTAGAGGCACAGGCGATGAAAAATTGCGCTCAGAATGAGTACCGGAATATTACAAATTTCACCATTAATACGAGTTAAAAATCAGCCAATTATGACAATAATGAACTCCAACTTAAATTCTATAATACGCAAAATTCGCGCATCAATGAATAATCTGGACGGTGCATCAAAACGCGCTCAGCCGGAAAATTTCTACCAGAACTTTTCGTCACCGCAACGTCTGAACTTAGCTCGTTTACTGCTCGTTGACTGATGTGCGCGAATTTCTACAGATATTCTTCCTCCATGACAAGATAATGTTTTTTCACCTATGCCTGCTGCTTAGCTGAAATTTTTCGAGGAACATTTTTGTCCTAGCAATTTTAACGAGAACTTATCTTTATACTATAACACGAGGCGAAATCTCGGAAAAAAATGTTTGCCGTAATGATACAAATCCACGCTAGTGAATTCCTGATGATAAAACTTCAGTTAGAATCATGATTCATGTTTGAGGTTAAATTTAAGCCCCAAAGCAAAGAATTACATTTCACTTCGTAAAATCTTACGAAATCATTGCACACTCGGACTACTATATTATGGATGAAACTAGCAGACTGCCTGGGAATATTTAGAGTTACGTTTATTATAAAGTTCGTCGTAATAAGCTTGTTTAGCGAGCAGTGAACAGCCGGCAACCAGAAAATTAAATATTCAGGTAAAATATATAAAATATTGCATATTTTCTGCGTGTTCTTTCCCACAAAGCACAGACGAATTACAATGAAAGGAACCAACGTCCAAAATACAACTTAATGCGTTTCGGAAAATATTAAAATCGAATAAACTAAGTGGAAATATAGTATTTTCATTTCAAGAAGAAAAAAATAATACAAAATTAAACCCAAAATCCTCAACGAAATACCAGTTTTCATGTTTCCAGAAATGTTCATTTCAACCGTAAAAACAACAGTTATGGCCGTTGAAGGAAAATAAAAAGCCTAATTCGAATGTATATCCTTGGAAATAATTTACTAGCCCCCGTAATATTTTTGTTTGCGATTGCGCAATACTACAATAGGGATTGCATATAGCTGGCCCGCTTTCTTTTTATAATTCATTGAACTGTGTTGTAATAGTTCTTTCACTACACTTCCATATGAACAGCCTAATACTGCAAAAATAATTTTAACAGCAGCATCCAAGCCTTTTCAAAAACTGAATGTAATCCAAATGGCAAGGCGGAAGAGAAGTTGGCTCAATTAAGGAAGTTACTCGTGTGCTCGGTGCGACCGTCCAAGACAGTCCCGTGGTCCGACAAAGACTTCTTTGTAAGTTAACAGTGTTTGCCAGGCCTCCAAGTCCCCTTTTCTGTGGCCTTAAATTGAATTTGTTTCTTTAAGTTTGCCCTTGCCTAATACGAATACAATTAAAAGTTATCGACAGTGTTTAATCTTGAGCAGAAGTTTTCCTCTCGGAATACTGCATGTAAGAATCTTGCACATGTGCGAGTGAGAGCAATATTTTTGGAGAGGGTATGTATTCTTGGTGAGATAAATTTGAGCCTTTGAGAGGTAAAGCTCGCACCACTCACCAAATCCGAACCAATACCTGAACTGAAATCGAGAATGCTAGACGCCTGGCATACTCTGATGTCGCCTTGCCTTCAGGAGCAGGGAGTATATAGCATTCTTATCCTGAAACTTGCCATCTTGCATGAATTTTTATTGGAAAAATTTTCTTTCGAACTGAAAAGGTAAGTATAATATTTCGGAAAGTTTACGAATGAATTATTCAAAATTAATGCTACGGTTTACAGTTTTTACGTTCATTTTAATACTAAGAACAAGTTTTCTTTATTGAAACTGTGAAACCTTCTGCTCTATTTGAAACTTTTATTATTTTCAAATCAAATTAATCGCATAAAAATAAGCGTTCAATTGAATTACACTGCCTTTCGTGAACATTGTGACTCGTTTCACAATATATTTCAAATTATAAGTCTTCTAAAAACATAACTTTTTTCAATATTCATCCGGTATCGCGGTGGAAAAACTACAAAAACAAACATTTAATAATTCAAAAACTAAAATATGACCCCATAATAAAAATTATCCTAAATTCAACATGCGTGATCGAGAACGAATAAAGAAGCAAAGAAATAAAGGGAATAAATAATGAGGTGACACGGGAATCATGCATGTCTGCCAGATCCCTTCACTCGTGACACTCCGACGTGACCGCCGGTAGTCTCGCGGCTCAGCAGATTACTTGGTCTCGTGAGCTCTTACGTGTCGCGCTGCCGACGCACGACTGCGCATCACATTTTCCTGCGTTCAAAGAAGCAAAAAGCTGCACAAAAGATTAAAACCATTTTAAATAAAATTTTGATCAGTGCTTTTTGCCTAAAAAATGAGGATTTTTTTGAGGCTCTGTTAGGAAGTTACGAGTATATGCAGCATTTAATTTTGATCTAATATTCGGTTAATTTTTTATTTTCTTGCTTTTTTGTCAATTATTTATGGCTCCATCAGTCAATTATTTATGGCTCCATCAACTTGTTTGGGCCAGCAAAAACTAAGATACACCAAAGAAAATTGTATCTTGTATGACTTGTTTGATTTCTATGAACTTATATGGTCTTGCTCCTTTCTCATCCGCCACCAATTAGACAAGAGGCAAAAATTAAATTGATAAAGAGCCATTCCGTTTTTTATTAGTACCAATGAGCTAGAATTTTCTCAATATTAATTAAAATTTATAATTTTTTGGTCTAATAAAACTATTATTTCGTCCCAGAGATCAGGATAACTCGAGTTGACGGGTGTTGCGGGTTCATTACTGCGCTTGCTCTCACTTGAGCGCCTGACGCCGAGAGGGAAGGTTGTGGTCTCGTCTCCTACAATTCCCCATTAAATTCTCGATTGTTGGTATATTGAAATACTGCAGATACTAGAGTTGCGTCAGCAAACCTAAGACAAATTGGTTATGGAAATATCAAATTCGTAACAGCAAGTGAGGCATTCTTTTGTTTATTAATAATGAGTTGTACCTAGAACATCAATTAACTTTTGGATGACATTATGATTTGGCTATCGCAACTCTCGCTCATTTGTATACACTTTGGTTATCCACATGTTATTAGAGATGTAATCAGGCACTCAGTGTCCTGATCTCAATGGATGTATATTTACATTTCCATGACACATTTATAAATTTAATTTTGTTCAGATCGAGGACTAAAAATTACCTATGTACATTTTAAATCTATTAATTAACAACAAAATTTCAGATTTTCTCATAAATCTTTTGTCGCTAGTCGCACAGAATTATATTCCTGACGTATCTACGGTTCCCTGCACTGAGTCTGCCTGCGTCATCTAGCATACGTCTGGGGAGATGACGACGCTAAGGACATGGATTATCTTCAGATGGAGGCAGGTCCGTAAACGGGTTCTGACAGCACAAACAAGGAAACCGATTCATCGGAAACATATCATCTTATTGGCGTACGATATGTTCCTACATAAGAATTATGCATAAATTTGTCAGTAAATAAGGTGAAAAACGACCGTCTACCTTATTTAAATTTGAATCTCAGTTTTACGAAATTAAATGGGCTGGCACTTCAGTTTCACAACAGAGAGTTTAATGATATAAAATTTATATACTATTAAAATTAACGCAAATATGCATGGTGGGTGCCGGTTTTAGCCACCAGGTAGCATGGACAGCCTGTTGAGCTGGCGTTGAAAATGTAAAACGATTCAGCGGTTCATATTATTTCATATTGATTTATTCTGCTAGAATTTCTCATATTTGCATACACTTCCAACTCGACGGGTAGCATCACGATTCCATATTTATTTCGCTAAATTTATTGGATTTGTGAGTCAAATTTGTCCGGTTTATTGGTACAAATCTGCAACAGGTGTTGCAAATGTTGCAGAATTTGTTGCGTGCGGGACAAATTGAAGGGATAGAGCGGGTTCCCGATACTGAATTCTGCGAAAGATAATACCGCGTTATACAAAAAGCATTGAATTAAAAATTAAATTTCCAAATAAAAATCCAAAGGATTCTCGAAACTAAATTCTGCAAAGGATAATACTGCGTTATACAAAAAGCATTTAACTAAATTTCCAAATAAAAATCCAAAAGATTCCTGAAAATTAATTCTGCGAGAGATACTTTTGTGTTATAAAAAAATATTTGAAGTAAATGTCTTGCAGATGCTAGCGTGCGCGCTGGTGGTGAGCGCCCTGGCGACGACCGGCAGCATGGTCGGCTGGTCCGTGGAGGTGGCCAGGATGGCCGAGGACCCTGAACTGCCGTTCAACATCTCGACGTCTCAACAGCGATGGCTTGGTCAGTTAGTGAGCTGATGAGGTGAAATTGGTATATTGGAGATGCAGATGCCATATTCGTACGAAACTTCTTTGATGAACTGCAGGTTCTGGGAGAACATTTGCAAAGATTTATTATTGGTAATTATAATCGTCCGTCCACTCATCTTCTTAGTTGAAAGAAATTCATTGACAATAATGATTGGCAATGGCATTGATTTGATTGGATAGAATTGGCATTGATTTGAATTGGACGTAAGAAAATTAAATTCAAAATGCCCTTTTCTATTTTACAACACTTCTCTTTAACTTCACTTCTTGTCTGTCTGTCTGTCTGTCTGTCTGCTACAAATCTTGTAATCGAAATTTAACACACTTCTATAATGAGAAATTCATTGTACATTTGTAAGATTGGAGACACTGGATTCTTTGGAAGTGTTGTCTTTAAAAAGTAATTTTTAAACGCATATTATTTACTATAAGTAGCAGTCGAGAGATATTCTGCTAAGATTTGATAGGCCAAGTAGTTTAACTCTCATGCATGCAACTCCGAAAAAGGTATTTCAGAAAGATTCGACGAAAACAAGTTCAGTTATCAGCGGTGTCTATAACTAAACTGAAAAATTAATATATCTCTAAAAATATTCTTATTACAACACTTCTCTTTAACTTCACTTCTTGTTTGTCTGTTTGTCTGTCTGTCTGTCTGCTACAAATCTTGTAATTGAAATTTAACACACTTCTACTTATCCTATCGATCTGAAATTTTGCATACTTGTTTAAAGTTGGAGACAATGCATGAATCAAATGTCAAAATAAATGATTTTAAAAAGTAAAAAAAAAATTTTTCAATATTAAAAAAATTGAAAAAATAATTTGTCAGCTACAAATCTTATAACTGATATTTGACACACTTTTACGTGTCTAATTGATCTGAAATTTTGCACACTTGTGTGAAATCAGAGGCAATGCATGAATCAATTAACAGAATAAATAATTTTGAAAAAAATTTATATATTAAAAAAATTTATATATATTAAAAAATTGACAAGTAAATTATGTTACTTTTTGAAAATTAGATGAGAAATTCATTGTACATCAGTGAGATTGGAGATACTGGATTCTTTGGAAGTGTTGTCTTTAAAAAGTCATTTTTGAACGTATATTATTTTTAACCCTCACTGATAAGTAAAATACACGCTCGAAACCCCAATTTACCTAACTTATGGAAATCTCCATCGCACACAGAGCTGAGCAGCTGCCATAAATCCAACAAAGCTTTTTTTACACTCCCTCATTCCAGTTTTTATCTCTAGCGGCGCGGTGTAAAACATTTTGAAGTGTCTTCACTGTGAAGGAATTACGAGTGACGTTGCTGAAATCTGCGAGAACATGCCGGAGAGTTGCGCTTGTGCGGCTAGAATACACAAGCAGAGCTTTATTCACGCTCTAGACCTGGCGTTGTAAATGCCGTTGCATTAATTTCGAAGGGCTTAAAATTTCTATATATTAGGGCCCAGTGGGCAGTGTCAAAATCAAGCCAGAATATTATAGTAATATAGGCCATGGATAAATTTTATGGGACATTGGAGTAATCATTATTTTTAATGACCCTGAGAGATGTTAACGATTCATTTACAAATTTAATCATTGATTATATGGATATCTCTTGACGATATCATTAGAAGGGGTTTCGTTGAATGCTAAATGATGCCGCGAAAATATTTATGTTAGTCGTGCGTAAAAGGTATAGTTTTATTTTATAAAGAAGAACTTCAGTGATGATAAACTAATATCGGAGCCTTCAACATTTTCTAAATATTCTTCTTATTGGGGCATATTGATTGCAACGCTCACCTGCCTGTCCTCATAGTGGGCAGCGAGTACTCGCGTCAGTCGTGCGTGGCCTTCGGTAATTTACCTCATCCAAATTACTCACATATGAAATAATGAACAAATAACGTGCTTCATTTCTAAAACGTTGACGATTATAGAAATTTCCAGCCAATATCTCTTCCGTGTGATAGGTTTTATGCTACACCCCGGCGACGCGGAAACGCGTTGCCAGCAAGCTTCTTATAATTCACACTAGTATACAGAATGACTGGACGTAATTGTAAGATCAGTAAAAATATCTAACTTGATCTGTATGACTAGCAAGGAAATATATAAATAATATGGAATAATGTTTTCTCATAATATGTAAGTATGATATTGTGAATCTTCAATTAAACTAATAATTTTAATAAAGGTTTCACGAGAAAAATATAAGTTGAATAAAAAGTAATGAATGAAAGAAGAAACACGAAACGAATAAAAAAATTTATTCGATCACTCTATTTTTCGAGTGTTGTTTTTTACATCAAACTTTTAAAACGATTTTCTATTTACCTCACATTGATAGCCATTTTGTATGGCATTAAGAAAAGCATGACTACTAAATGTAATAATCTTGAATCCAAACGTAAGGTTTCATGGAATAAATTGCTTTCCTTTTTGTTATCTAATTAAAAACAACCAAGAAATATAAGTTTAACCAGGAAATAACATGGCTAAAATATTTCAAAACCTTCTTTCGTCCTGGCATTGACAGTTTCGAGCGTGGGTATTGCCTCGGTGGTAAGCACCCTGGCGACAGGATGGCTCATGGAGGCGCTGGGTCCATGTCGTCTGCTAAGCTTGCTGTTGCTGCCTCAAGGCTTGGCATGGATCACCATGGCCGTGTCATACTCACTGCCCTGGATCTTCGTAGGGCGCATCATCACGGGCGCTATAGGCATCATGCTCACCACTATCATCCAGGTTAGATATCTTAAGGACAAAATTTGTGATTTGTAAGCCATAAAGAAGGAATCAGCATTAAAGAAGTTATCAGCATATTTGAGGAATCTTGTCTGATGGAAGTACTGTCGTAGTGCGACATTTTCGAGCTTTGAGGCAGCGATCATAATTTTCGTAGTCGGTCTGTAGGATGCAATGTGAATAGATCATTATACTGCAACTGAAAAAATTATGATGAAAAAATTATGAAATTATGCAACTGAAATTATGAACTTGCTATTGCTAGTTAAACATTTCACGTTTATATTTTTGTTATTGCTGTCATTCCCGTCTAGCCTCTGGTAGCGGAGTTGTGCCAGCCAGACGTGCGAGGTATGCTGAGCGCTCTGCCGGAGATGGCGATATCACTAGGCCTGCTGGGGGCCTATGTTTTCGCGCGCTTTCTTGTGTGGCAAGCCGGCACCCTCCTGTGCGGGGTTCTGGTGTTCCCCTCCCTTTGTGGGGTTCTTTTCGTTCCTGAGTCCCCGTACTGGCTCATTAAAAAGGGCAGAGATAAGGAAGCTACTCGGTGAGTAGACTTCGGGGGGCCATCATTTGGAAGGCTTGTTGGTTAAATTGAAAAATTTTTAAAGTGCAGTTATTGTATGTAAACTTTACTGGGGTAATCATGTAGTGCGGCAAAGATCAGCCTATATTTTTGAAATGATCAAATTGCACTGAAAATCAGGTAATGGTTTTCCAGAGGAATTATTAGGTTTTCATTTATTATGATTTCATTTACAAGTTTTCATTACTCAAATACGTTTCACTCTATTAAATCCATTTTTCTGTGTATTACACAGTTCATTTGTATTACACTGGCCTTTTTGGCACGTCAACAGAGCCTTCTTGCTCGAATCACAGCCTTCGAAATTGCGCTAGAATTCTCTTGAGAGTCGATTGGTCTGTGTTACAGGTGTGCTTCATGTTAAGTTTATTCTGGCTCGAATGGAATTCATTCAATGGATTTAGCATAGCCGTTACGAAATAATAACTATTTGAAGGAATGGTTTTAAATTTATAGAGAAGCTCAACCCTAATCAGCTTGAATATTAGCAGCCACTGCTACTAGCTTCACTAATCACGAACACAATGATAGTTTGGAGGGAGTGATTCTTTTATTTTTCAGTGATCTTTTTTTGGGTCATTGTGTCAGGAAATTACAGTACTTTGGTCCGGTTGTTGCTCCAAATGTAACCATGCTCAGATGAATAATTTTGGACTTACTTGCATGCCAGTAATTCGCCCATTTTGTAAGGTATGACCCAGTGGTTTATATATGTCAATATGATAAATAGCTCATGAAATGCTTGCAGATCATTGATGAGGCTACGGGCACCGGAGCACGACATCGAGGCAGAGGTTGCGGCTATCAGAGATGGCATCGCTCTGCAGGCGCTCGAACAAGGCTCCTTCGCTCAACAGGTCGTTAAAACAGGCTAAGAATTCTCAACAGGTCGGCTTCTTGAAATTGTGCAATTATATAAATTAAACCTCAAATACGATAATAACTCTGAGTTGCTTCTTTGCTCGACTATTTAAAATTACAAAATATTTAATTAATTCGGCAGATTTTTATTGTCCTGATTTCTGAACGCGATTTCAAATAAAGCCGGCAAGTGATGACAAAGGTAATTTTAATACATCTATCTAAGTACTGCTATCCTAGCCTAAATTAAACAAATTTTGCTGCCAAGCATAAGTATTTTATTTTAAGAGTAATCTGTAAAACATAGTCTTGATATAATTCCTGCATTTGCAGTTTCGTTCAATGGGCCAAAGTGTCAACTACCGCCCAGTCATCCTCCTCTCGGTCCTTGTGGTTCTGAAAGAAGTCGGAGGCGCAATGTTCATTTTCATGTACTCAGCCTACTTCTTCCTGGCTGCCGGAGTAGTGTGGGATCCCTTCACATGTACTGTGTTGGTGGGAGTAACGAGGCTATTATTTACATTCGTGTCTGCTCTTGTGATTGATAAAGTTGGACGTCGACCATTGCTGGTATTCTCATCACTGACCTGTGGCTCAGCAATGTTCGTCATAGGAGCAATCGTGAAAATAGGAAGTCCATCTATTGCTTGGATCCCTCTGGTGGCTGTTCTTATCTTCGTGGCATCATTTGGGCTCGGTGTGGGGCCAGTTCCTTGGATTTTGGTTGGAGAAATGCTCCCAACCCCAGTACGGTCGTTAGCTGCGTCCATTTGTACGTGCCTCTTCGCCTTCTTCACGTTTCTACTAAGTGAGCTCATGCCACAGATTATTGAAGTTTCAGGACTGGATGACGCCGCCTTTGCATTCGGAGCCTTTCAGATTTTCTTGGCTCTCACAACTTGGCTGTTCGTGCCGGAGACCAGAGGCCGGACGCTGGAGGACTTGCAAACTGCTTTCTCCGGAGCTGCCCTCCGACCGTTCCGGAAATCTCGAGAAGGATATGTACAGGCCTATGGTTCCACGTTCTCCGAGGCCGGTCCCAGTCAGTCCAAAAAAGCCTAGTGGACAATCAATTGTCACGTTTATAAACAACTATCTAGGTTACCAATTGAGATATTAAAAACGGAAAAAATTAGATCGTAAAAAAAATGATTTTGTATCACAGAAATTTTCGAACATGTGAAGTAAATAATTCAATATTGATTCATTTTTACAAGTATACTGTATATTGCAAGTATATAATCATATATACTTTTATCGAATTTCTGGTTTCTATATGAGTAACATTTAAATGCTTAGATAAGCATGGTTGATTCTTTTTTTGTGAACTATTAGCCTTACGTAAGATACGCATAACTTCTTAAGCTTCATCAAGCCGATATTCACTAAGCATTTGCCGGAATGCCAACCCCTGCTTTCAGTCACAAGTTTTGATCTAAAAATATGGAACCCTATGCAATAATGTTTGCTTAAGTTTCATGCTGTCCGTTGGAGCTTTTATGTTCGAAGTTTAGTTATCTTCAGAGCGATGTCACATATTCCGCCTCAAACTTATCCGCGAGAGTCGGCTTAACTGTTTCCGCCGCCTTTTTGGGCGCGGAATGCGAACATATTTTCCTCACGCATAGGTGATTTTGGCGAGCGAAAGTTGCACGGTCTACCGCAACATCAAAGCGACTCTCGCATGAACTGAACTTGCATGGTATGTAGGTATATGTTACCAAACGAAAAAGGCAGTTAATCTCTTATGCATTAAAATCACTTGACTGCATAAATCGCAAGTTTATCAAAAATTTGAAAGCAAAGATAATTGCCAGAAAATTCACCATTTCTTAAAAAGGAAAGCGTTTCGGAGACCAGCTCCATCATCAGTTCAAAACCTAAAACACAGGTACAAACAATTAGCAATAAATTCACATTGAAGCATAAATCGTCAAATGAGAAACAAACAAGAATGAAGCAAACACGGACACAAACCTGTCTATTTACAATTTCGAGAGGATATGAACTGTTGGCGGCATTTAAAATAGGCTTTTGTGCTTCAATGTGAATTTATTGCTAATTGTTTGTACCTGTGTTGTAGGTTTTGAACTGATGATGGAGCTGGTCTCCGAAACGCTTTCCTTTTTAAGAAATTGTGAATTTCCTGGCTATTTTCTTTGCTATTAAATTTTTGATCTCTTATGCATTGGTGAGATTATACAATATATTTGATATGGTCAAACTATTTTATTTTATTTTCGTATTTATGTTAAAATTATGGATTTTTATGTACATGTTTAGGTTCATTCCAGAAGTCAACCAGTTCTCGGCATTACGAGTATCCCATCTAACTTTATCACTGAACAGGTTCTCAGAACACTCAAATCTTTGAACTGAAGCAATGTTTTGCTTATGAACTGATTTTACTTTAATTTCACATTAATATGTGAAAGCACTTCTTACCAACTGTTGAGATGCTAAGTAATATTGTCTAGAGGTAAGCACAGTACCTACATAGCATTTTCAAGTATGGGTGACTAAAATTAAAACAAACGTCACTACAAATGAAAATCTTTTAGGACAGACACTTTTACGGTGTTTTCCATATCATAGAACATCTTTTGCCTTATTTTTCGCTTATATTTGATATGCCCTGGAATTGCAAAAAACTAATTTCACTGTAATAATAATACTTCGCATTTTCAAACCTACTTTTGACTTTTACTTTTATATTTGCGATACGTGAGTGCACAACAGCTAATCAATTACAATCATTTTAATAATTTAAAATTATGATAATTGAGTTTGTATTAGAAGAATTTTCTACACGTTATATAATTGCTATGACTACGCGTTATATAATTGCTATGACTGTAGAGTCCCCATGATTTTCTTCACTGTCATGATTAAAATAAAGTGTTAAGACAATTTAAATAAATATTCAACATCAAACGTTTTCATATTATTCTCACATGATTTCTTGTGTACAGCAAAGCTCGAAATAGATGGGAGCAAGTTTATGATACTATATGACAGTAAGAAATTTAGTTGCAATTTTAGTAAATATAAGTATTGCGTCAGTCACATGTCAGTATATATGAATATATAAGTATCGCGTCAGTCACATGTCAGTATATATGACGATATAAGTATCGCGTCACTCACATGTCAGTATATATGAATATATAAGTATTCAAAACCTAAAACACAGGTACAAACAATTAGCAATAAATTCACATTGAAGCATAAATCGTCAAATGAGAAACAAACAAGAATGAAGCAAACACGGACACAAACCTGTCTATTTACAATTTCGAGAGGATATGAACTGTTGGCGGCATTTAAAATAGGCTTTTGTGCTTCAATGTGAATTTATTGCTAATTGTTTGTACCTGTGTTGTAGGTTTTGAACTGATGATGGAGCTGGTCTCCGAAACGCTTTCCTTTTTAAGAAATTGTGAATTTTCTTGCTATTTTCTTTGCTATTAAATTTTTGATCTCTTATGCATTGGTGAGATTATACAATATATTTGATATGGTCAAACTATTTTATTTTATTTTCGTATTTATGTTAAAATTATGGATTTTTATGTACATGTTTAGGTTCATTCCAGAAGTCAACCAGTTCTCGGCATTACGAGTATCCCATCTAACTTTATCACTGAACAGGTTCTCAGAACACTCAAATCTTTGAACTGAAGCAATGTTTTGCTTATGAACTGATTTTACTTTAATTTCACATTAATATGTGAAAGCACTTCTTACCAACTGTTGAGATGCTAAGTAATATTGTCTAGAGGTAAGCACAGTACCTACATAGCATTTTCAAGTATGGGTGACTAAAATTAAAACAAACGTCACTACAAATGAAAATCTTTTAGGACAGACACTTTTACGGTGTTTTCCATATCATAGAACATCTTTTGCCTTATTTTTCGCTTATATTTGATATGCCCTGGAATTGCAAAAAACTAATTTCACTGTAATAATAATACTTCGCATTTTCAAACCTACTTTTGACTTTTACTTTTATATTTGCGATACGTGAGTGCACAACAGCTAATCAATTACAATCATTTTAATAATTTAAAATTATGATAATTGAGTTTGTATTAGAAGAATTTTCTACACGTTATATAATTGCTATGACTACGCGTTATATAATTGCTATGACTGTAGAGTCCCCATGATTTTCTTCACTGTCATGATTAAAATAAAGTGTTAAGACAATTTAAATAAATATTCAACATCAAACGTTTTCATATTATTCTCACATGATTTCTTGTGTACAGCAAAGCTCGAAATAGATGGGAGCAAGTTTATGATACTATATGACAGTAAGAAATTTAGTTGCAATTTTAGTAAATATAAGTATTGCGTCAGTCACATGTCAGTATATATGAATATATAAGTATCGCGTCAGTCACATGTCAGTATATATGACGATATAAGTATCGCGTCACTCACATGTCAGTATATATGAATATATAAGTATTGCGTCACTCAAATGTCAGTATATATGAATATATAAGTATTGCGTCAGTCACAAGTCAGCTGGCCGGAGGTGCAGCTCATTATGTACCATTGAGCTTTTTTCTTTTTAATTTTGCTCATAATAAGTACAAGGCTTTGATTGTACCGGAATTTACATGCCTTGTTATTGCAGCTGTCATCCAGGGAAAACATGGAATATATTTCAAAGCAACTTAGTCCATAAATCAAATAAATTTGTTGGGACTTTTTAGAATAAGATTACCGCGGAAAATAAACAGGATTCGCCAGGAAATATTCAAAGCTTGTTATAAATTTCCGCTTAATTATTCAGCACTGTGACTATGAACGTTCGACCGCATGCCATTCTTTTTTATTTGCGTCGAAAAAAAGGCGATTGCGAACTCATTCAGCGATTGTGTCGCAATACGACATGCTTTAGGATCACATGGGACATGACAAAAATTATTATAATTGCACTTATATTGGAGGAAAAAGTTCCTTGTAAGTCAAGGTATCAATTATTATTTGTATTATATGATTATTGTAGTCGAACCTTCCCTCAAATAGTTTTAAAATTATTTTCTCTACAATCGCACGTGTTATACGCATTACACGTGTAACAATGTTTCTATTTGGTTTGAACACAAAATCCTTTCGGTAAGAATTTTTCCACACGACCACAAAAAAGGCCTCAACCACTGAAAAGTGATCCATCACGTTGGAAGGTTCAGACCTCATGAACAATCCTTTCAACAGTAGAGGAAATGCAACCATACAAATTTCATAATCTGTATTAATAAGTAGCTTCAGGTAATGTTGCTTTCGAACCAGCTAATATCTAGATCTATTTGTGTTTGTTAACCTTTGAACTAATGCATAAAAACACTTATGTTATCGCAGTATAACTTTTAATCTAATAAATTCAAGTTAGAAAAACATCCTGACAATCAAATAGCAATTCGCTGGCGGCTAAAATGGAGAGTAAACTTGAATCCCACTATTGGCTAGGGGAATTGAGATTAGCAATTGGGCACAAACCTTCAAATGGCGGAACCTGAAGTGAAGCTTTGAAGGCTATATTGCCATGCAGTTATTGACGATGAAGGCCACGAGGCCTTCATCGTCATGCATTGCAATGAAGATTCCAGAGTTTAGAGCTCCGATTGACTCGGCAATGAAGGACGTGTGGGAAATTGACTGTCGGCGCTCGGCACGATCCGGAGATCACTTTTGGCACGTCAACAGAGCCTTCTTGCTCGAATCACAGACATCGAAATTGCGCTAGAATTCTCTTCATAGTCGATTGGTCTGTGTTACAGGTGTGCTTCATGCTAAGTTTATTTATTCTGGCTCGAATGGAATTTATTGAATATATATAATCAATTTATCGTTCACAAAAAGGTTAAAGTTTTTATTGTACCACATTTGAAGCATTTCTCTATGTGGGTCAATATGGTTCTATTCAAAATATAAAGCAAGATATATAAATTATCTGAAATCCTGTTCTAAATAGTTTTCATCCACTATCTTGTTAAAGATTACAATTCATTAAAGTTTTACTGATTTAAATTTACCGACTATTGATTTATTAAAAATTATTTGACACATTGTTGATTCATTGCACATTTCTGCGTGCTATCAACAACAATTTTCTTCGTTTCTTCCATTATGAAATAAATTGGAAAATATAC